TTAATAAATTAAATCATCTTTAAAAACTGCATTTTGTATTTACTCGGGTTATCTTTTTGCAATATTAAAATTTGTTTGTTGAGCTGAAATTATTTAGGTGTGACATATATGGGGGGGGGGGGGGGGAATCGGGAAGGGGCAACATTTGTTCACGACACTGTACACCATATACGCACACACACATTTTTCTTTATCTACAATCTTCTTGTGGCTAGGATTTGAAGGCTGATCTCTGGGCATAGTAAAAAATACATAAAACGTAGTATAATATGTAACATAAAATAACACCCCCCAAAAATGACGAATATATGGCTAATTTTTCTAGGGGATGATTCAATGAAATATAAGTTACCCTACTCCATTGGTCCTGCAGTCTTCCTCCGTACTGGTTCCAGTTGTCCAATCTGTCCCCCAAAGCCTTTCTTACCAGTTTCTAACCAATCTTGTCACCTCCATCATGTACAGTACAAGCAGGACCAATGGGCCACCACTGGTCCTGCACTGCATGTGATGACGTAGAGGGCCCACGCACTCCATGAGCAAGGAGTATCAGGACACCAGTCGTCACAGAACATTGGAGTAAAGTAATTAAAAACACAAGTAAACTGTGATGAATCATAATTTGGAAAAACAAGCATTATATTCTTCATAGCTGGGGGGCAGGATACATTATTTGAGTGGAGCACAGAATTCCAGAAGAAACATGAAAGATTCCATTGCTGAAAATGCCAACTGCCTGGCTATTATTGACCCTCTTGCTTCAATATATTGATCCAGACCAAGAATGCAGTTAAGGGCTTCTGATATTACTCTGATATGCATAAATTGTCTTGTACAAGTGGAGTAAAGTGTTTGGGCTGGGGTGTCAGTATAGCCGTCAGGTAACCACAATTTGTAGGAGGAGGTTAGCATCCCCCATTAGTTCCCTTAGACGAGGCCTAAAGCCCTTTTGAAAGGTAAACAATTTTACATTCCCCTTACCCACCATTACAAAATACAAACCATTTCTTAAACCTTATTCTTAGCTGTCCCAGACCCTCTCTTACTTCCAGAATCCACACACAGCCATGGTGGCAGACCATATGTCATCTGTCAGAGGTTGGGATATACGTCCAGAGCAAGCTACTGATTCCAGTAAAGCAATAATGGGGATTGCTGTGTTATCTCTAGTCATATCATTAGACTGAGCAAATCATTTTAACCCACCAGATGGCCAACATTGCTGATCTCCTGATAGCATGGGCAGCACAATGGGTTAGTAGTTAGCACTTCTGCCTTGCAGCACTAGAGTCATCGCTTCAAATTCGAGCTAGGATGCTATCTGCATGGAGTTTGCATGTTCTAACTGTGTTTGCATGGGTTTTTCACATTTAAAAGACCAGCTGGTAGGTTAATAGGCTTCTGTCTAATGTGTAAGTGTGTTTATATATGTATACGTTAGAGACCTTCGACTTTAAGCTCCTTGAGGGCAGACCTGATGTGTATATACAGTATGTAAAGTACGGTGTAATTCATCTGTGCTATATAAATGCTTGTAATAAATAAATATTATTTGCAAACCAGTATAAGGGGCATTTATTGCATGATCCTTTTTAGATAATATCTGCTTTTGTATTTCAGCACTTCCTCTTTCATGCAAGGAGGAGAACTGTAAACTCCATTTTTAGAGTCATTTTACATTAAGGCCTCACGAAAAACCCCCCAAAATGTAAACACTTTAATGCTCAATATCATAATGAGCAATTTATTTAAACAAAATTTAGTTAATTCCTGCCATTTCATTTCTTCCTTGTGTATAATTTTGGGGTGAAAGTCAACTCACTAGCGAAAAGCAGAAAAAAAAAACAAACAATTGAGCAATTGAATTGATAAATAAAAGCAGCTTTTTCTGACAATGAATGTCACAAATCCCAAGTATTTAGTCTAAGTTCCAAAAAAGATGCTTTACTTCCACCTAGGGGATGCAGAAAATATGTCTTGTTAAAAGAGGTACATTTTGAAAATTGTTCATTTACAGGCATCAACCCTCACTTCATGAAAGGTTGAAACGGCGGCATATCTATAAAGCCAATAATGTGACATTCACAAAACATTCACTTCTAGTGAATCAATCACTGTCACATTTAAAACACAAGCACTAGCAGGTTCACCTGCAATGGATGTCCCATTCACTGATTTACAAATATACGCCTTTGTATCCAAGTAATATTTGATGCCAGAAAACTCAACAGTAAATCCAGCACATAATTTAGAAGCTAGGGATTATATTTTATACTTTTTACCTTTGAAAAAAACCATTGTATTCTATAAATTCAAGCACACAAAATGCAACACATACAGTAGATATTTTTCCTATCAATAACTTAGATGTCTCCGCTATTTATTAGTGTCCTGAAGGGATTCAATGTACATAAACACAACTGATCTTTTACATGGCTTCATTTGCCACTGGTGAATTTATACCTTTAAATATCAAACCTCAAAACATCCACCAAGCTAATCAAGGTTTCTGAACTACTGACACAAAGAAAAATATCTATTCAGAATGATACATCATAATTATTATTTGTGCTTTAATTTATTTGCATTGTTTTTGTGCTGCACTATTTTTTTAAATAATTCTTAATTTTCTTATTTTTTGTGGGTATTGTGAAAATTACCTTCAGTGTACAGCTTGCATTCCGTTCTGCATACAGTAATTAGGTCTGCACTGATTGTTTCCCTATATTTTGTTTTTATATAAACTCAAAAGATCTGTACACAAAAATGTTGCAATGAGCACCAACAATTTCTCTTCAATACATAATTTCTTAGTGTAGTCCAGCATGTCCTCCCCTGAGGATATACCAAGTGCTTTCTCTCTGTTGAGCTGGTCTATACAGGTGAAACTCAAAAAATTAGAATATCGTGCAAAAGTTCATTTATTTCAGTAATGCAACTTAAAAGGTGAAATTAATATATGAGATAGACTCATTACATGCAAAGCAAGATAGTTCAAGACGTGATTTGTCATAATTGTGATGATTATGGCTTACAGCTCATGAAACCCCCAAATCCACAATCTCAGAAAATTAGAATATTGTGAAAAGGTGCAATATTCTAGGCTCAAAGTGTCCCACTCTAATCAGCTAATTAAGCCAAAACACCTGCAAAGGGTTCCTGAGCCTTTAAATGGTCTCTCAATCTGGTTCAGTAGGAATCACAATCATGGGAAACACTGCTGACCTGTCAGTTGTGCAGAAAACCATCATTGACACCCTCCATAAGGAGGGAAAGCCTCAAAAGGTAATTGCAAAAGAAGCTGGATGTTCCCAAAGTGCTGTATCAAAGCACATTAATAGAAAGTTATGTGGAAGGGAAAAGTGTGGAAAAAAAAGGTGCACAAGCAGCAGGGACGACCGCAGTCTGGAGAGGATTGTCAGGAAAAGGCCATTCAAAAGTGTTGGGGACTTTCACAAGGAGTGGACTGAGGCTGGAGTCAGTGTATCAAGAGCCACTATACACAGACGGATCCTGGACATGGGCTTCAAATGTCGTATTCCTCTTGTCAAGCCGCTCCTGAACAACAAACAATGGCAGAAGCGTCTTACCTGGGCCAAAGAAAAACAGACCTGGTCTGTTGCTCAGTGGTCCAAAGTCCTCTTTTCTGTTGAGAGCAACTTTTGCATCTCATTTGGAAACCAAGGACCCAGAGTATGGAGGAAGAATGGAGAGGCACACACTGCAAGATGCTTGAAGGCCAGTGTGAAGTTTCCACAGTCTTTGTTGATTTGGGGAGCCATGTCATCTGCTGGTGTTGGTCCACTGTGCTTCCTTAAGTCCAGGGTCAACGCAGCCGTCTACCAGGAGATTTTGGAGCACTTCATGTTTCCTTCCACAGACGAGCTTTATGGGGATGCTGACTTCATTTTCCAGCAGGACTTGGCACCTGCCCACACTGCCAAAAGCACCAAAACCTGGTTCAATGACCATGGGATTACTGTGCTTGATTGGCTAGCAAACTCGCCTGACCTGAACCCTATAGAGAATCTATGGGGCATTGCCAAGAGAAAGATGAGAGACATGAGACCGAACAATGCAGAAGAGCTGAAGGCCGCTATTGAAGCATCCTGGTCTTCCATAACACCTCAGCAGTGCCACAGGCTGATAGCTTCCATGCCACGCCGCATTGAGGCAGTAATTGCTGCAAAAGGGGCCCAAACCACGTACTGAGTACATATGCATGCTTATACTTTTCAGAGGTCCCATATTGTTCTATGTACAATCCTTGTTTTATTGATTGCATGTAATATTCTAATTTTCTGAGATTGTGGATTTGGGGTTTTCTCGAGTTGTAAGCCATAATCATCACAATTCTGACAAATCACGGCTTGAACGATCTTGCTTTGCATGTAATGAGTCTATTTCATATATTAGTTTCACCTTTTAAGTTGCATTACTGAAATAAATGAACTTTTGCACGATATTCTAATTTTTTGAGTTTCACCCGTATGTAAACACATGTAAGAACATACATACCGTATTTTCCGGCGTATAAGACGACTTTTTAGCCCATGAGAATCTTCTCAAAGGTCGGGGGTCGTCTTATACGCCGATATACGGCATGCTGACACTTCCGAGCCAGTGTCAGGGCGGCACTTTTTAGGGGGGCGGCGTGGTGCCGCTGCCGCCCCCCCTTCCAACGGAAGTACAGGGGCGGGCAGGGGGCTGCTGTTTCTTACCTGGCTCTGGTCCCAGTCCCACGACGATCCAGTTCAGGAGGGCGGCTGCTCCCTCATTCAGTTCGGCCGCTCGATGTTTGCGCAGTCGCTCGGCTCCGCCTCCTCACCGGTTATTGGTCGCCAGAACTGTAGCTCAGGAAAGGCACACAGGCGGCCAATAACCGGCGAGGAGGCGGAGCGGCCCCATGAAAATCGAGTGAGGGAGTGGCTGGTAAGTGTGTCGTGCAGATATTGCTGCTGCAACCACGTATGCTGGCTGCAGCAGCACCATTCTGGAACAGGGGTCAGCAAGTGTCATTGGTGTCAATGGGAGGAATAGTGCCCCATCATTGGTGTCACTGATACTAATGATGGGTCATTATTCCTCCCACTGATACCAATGATGGGGCACTATTCCTCCCCCCACTGACACCAACGATGGGGCACTATTCCACCCCCCACTGACACCAATGATGGGATACTATTCCTCCCACTGACACCAATGACGGGGCACGAGTCCTCCCACTGACACCAAAGATGGGACACTATTCCCCCCACAGATACCAATGATGGGGCGCGATTCCTCCCACTAATACCAATGATGGGGCGCGATTCCTCCCACTGACACCAATGATGGGGTGCTATTCCTCCCACTGACACCAATGATGGGGTGCTATTCCTCCCACTGACACCAATGATGGGGTGCTATTCCTCCCACTGACACCAATGATGGGGTGCTATTCCTCCCACTGACACCAATGATGGGGCGCTATTCCTTTGACTGACACCAATGATGGGGCACTATTCCTCCCACTGACACCAATGATGGGGCACGATTCTTCCCACTGACACCAATGATGGGGCACTATTTCTCCACTGACACTGATGGAGACTATCAAATCTGATGTTTTTTCATTTTTATTTGGTATGCGTTGGAAGAGGGGTAGTCTTATATGGCGAGTATAGCCCAAACCCTATATTTTAACAGGAAAAGTAGGGGGTCTTATATGCCGGAAAATACGGTAAGTCATTCAGAATTCAAGTCAGAAAGTCTTCCGCAATGACAGCCCGCCTATTCCTCTCATGCAGATTCCTTTTAGGAAATTGGCAAGTTTTAAATATTTGTGTATAGAAATCTTTAGTAAAACCTTGCTGACCAAACAATTTTGGAAAACTTCCTTCAGAATTGTTTTTTGCAAAAATTACTGTCCACTATGCCCAAGCTGCATTCTAAAGAACATCTTTAATTCCCGGATCAGATAATTTAGAGAGACAGACTTCCTAGGATAGCCTTAGAAATATGCAGCATCACCTCCAAGTTTGGCTTAGCACGTCTGAATGTTTATTAATAGTACATTCATAGATCTTCTATATATCAACTTGCAGATAGCCCCATGAGAAAATGTATGTCCTACTCCAGAGAATGCTACTCATGGGCCATCATGCAATAGTGTTTAAACAGAACCATATAAAAGACAAAAATCAATTATATGTAATTAAAAGTATGTACCTGAATCTGACCTAGTTGCAGTCTCTGGGGTCGATTTACTAAAGGCATATAGACTGTGCACTTTGCAAGTGCAGTTGCACTCGTTTTCCCCAGAGCATTTTTGCTTGTACATGATTGGATGATTGAAATCAGCAGAGCTTCACCACATTCACTAAGCTCTGGGGTAAATGAGTGAAAGTGCACATGGCAAAGTGCACAGTCTATTTTTCTTTAGCAAATCAACCCCTCTGTTTTGCAGAGCTTGAGAGGGAAAGGATGCAGTAGTAGGAGTAACCAAGCAGTTCATATGCTGACAAAAAGCATGTTGATAGAAGGAGAGAGCAGAGTGACAGAGGAGCTCATTACATTGGTACTTCTCCTTTCACTGTCCCGAAATAGGCTGGAGAGGGCCCAGGACAGGTTGTCCTGGGCTCAGAGGAAGCAAGTTAAATAATGCTGACCATCTAAACTTCTATGAAAATTGACTGGATTGAAGTTGAATGCTGTAGCAAAAGTTGGCTGTGTTATTGTATCTTTTACTGGCCCATTCATTTTTCGTTTGTTATTTTGGGATAAAGTACTGATTTCACAGGTCTAACTTTGAACTGCTGTTGGTACATTAATTATTGAAACCTCTCTGAGAATAAAATTTCTCAACTATACCCCAAGAATAATTTATTCTGTACAATCCCCAACTTGCCCAAGTTCTTTGATCTAACTTTGGGTTTAATCTGGGATAAATACTTCAGTTACATGCAAAGGATGAATTAAAAGACAAAAACACATATCCTAAGGCTCCATGCACAGTAGCGTTTTTTTAAGTTAAAAAAATTCTGGAAAAAATGCTGGTTAAAAAACAATGGTAATAGCATTTTTAGTAGTGTTTTAGTAGCGTTTAGGAGTGTTAGTGTTTTATTAGCATTTTTACAGTACATGCAAGCTAGAAAAAAAGCTGTTAGGAGTGTTTTAGTAGTGTTTAGTAGTATTTAGCATTTTTTTCTGCTGCAAAAACATTACAAAAAATGTTTCTGCTCCTAAACGCTGAAGCTTGAAAAACGCGACTAGCCTAAAATAGTGTACCTGAACACATAGGATAAAACGATTTAGCTTCTAGGAGCAGCCCTAAACTTGGCATTTTAAAGCCCACAACTTCTACATGTAGTACCTGCCCAGTCTGGCCTATCCAACTTTACATAACATCATTCTAATGAAAAATATTTGCTGCAAGATACCAAATAAGCGAATATTCCAAGCATTACTACGGTCCTTTTCCTTTTGATTCTACTCATGATATTGTAGCTAAAGCCTGAACAGATGAAGAAAACATACCTAAATTAAACCAGCAGTGGAAAGTTACTAGACCATATAGTATACAGTGATCAGCCATAACATTAAGATCACTAAAGTGAATTACAGTTATCATTACAATGGCATCTGAAAGGCAGTGGGATATATTAGGCTGCAGGTAAACATGTTGTCCATGAAATTGACATGTTAAAAGCACAGTGGCTAAATGGTTAGGAATTCTGCCTGGCAGTACAACAGACATTGGTTCGAATCCCAACCATGGCACCAACTGCCTGGAGTTTGCATGTTCTCCCTTGTGTCTGCGTAGGATCCACCTAAGTACTCCGGTTTCCTCCCACATTCCAAAGACTTTCTGGTAGGTTAATTGGCTCCTGTCCAAATTGGTCCTAGTATGTGTATGTATGAATGTGAGTTAGGGACCTTAGATTGTACACTCCTTGAGGGTTAGGGGCTGATGTGAATGTACAATATATATATGTAAAGCGCTGCATAAATTGGCAGCGCTATACAATTAGCTGAAGTAAAATAAATAAAGAAATAAATCATAGTTTGTTGTGTATGGGGCTGCATAGCTGCAGACCAGTCAGTGTCCAAGCTGACCTGTGTTCATAGCCAAAACGGTCTACAATGGCTATGCGAGCATCAGAACGTGACCACGGAGCAATGGAAGAAGGTGGCTTGGAATGATGAATCACGTTTTCGTTTACATCATATGGATGGCCGGGAGTGTGCATACTGCTTACCTGGGGAAGAGATGGCACCAGGATGCAGTATGGGAAGAAGGCAAGCTGGAAGAGGCAGTATAAGGCTTTGGGTAAGGTTCTACTGGGAAACCCTGGTCCAGCCATTCATGTGAATTTAACTTTGACACATACCAACTAAATGGTATTTCCTAATGGCAGAGGCCTCTTTCCACATGATAATGCACCCTTCCACATTGCAAATGTGGGTTAAGAAATACAACGAGTTTGAGCTGTTGACTTGGCTTTCAAATTCTCCAAATCTCAATTCTATCAAGTATTTGAGGGATGTGCTGGAAAAACACGTCTGATCCATGCATGCCCCACCTCGCAACTTAGAGGACTTAAAGGATCTGCTACTGATCGCTTGGTCCCAGATACCACAGCATATCTTTAGCGGTCTAGTGGCTTCCATGCTACGATGGGTCAGGGATGTTATAGAGGAAAAGGGAGCACCTACACAAAATTAGGTGGGTCAGCATAACGTTATAGCTGATCAGTGTACATACACCTTTTTTTTATCTAGAAGTAAAAAGAAGTCAGCTGTGCCATTTCCCTCAAGCATATTATACAGCAGTTAATCTGTAAAGAGTGGAGAAACATTTTGCGGTTTATCGCTTTAAGCCTGGACTTTTCTGCATCAAGAGTGAAAAAGCCCAAAGGTTGGGTCCTTCTGGCCTAAGATAATGGTGTTCTTCTCACTTTCCCCTTCACTAATACAAACAACCATGAAGTTTGCATTTCAGGGTAAAGAGAAAATCCGTGGTGACAAGTACAGGCAGTGTGTCAAACTTTAACTGTAACTAAAACACAAATTTCAGCAAAGGGCCTCCCAACACCTAGAATTTATAAAAATGCACCTTAGAACAGACCTTCCATTCCCACCAGCTGGCATGGGCGCAGTGAGCTGGCTTTGTTTACCTGCTGGTCCAGTGCACTAGTGTAGCTGCAGTAGTCAGATGCATTGACTGTAATAACTGGCCCTTATAACAGCTTATGGATGGATTGTTGGACAACCCATTTTAGGCAACTGTCAACCATTCCTAATATAATGTAATGAATACCATATTTGGCTACGTTTTAGAAAAAGATCCTGAAATCCCCAACTGTGTAAAATGATACCTATAATTTTATATCACGCAAAGCAGGCTTCCTGCTGTGCACATTGTACATAGTATATACTTTAACTTAATTATTTCCCTTTATTATTTTACATATCAGATTTGCCGGGACATGAAGTAGGACTAAATGGGTCACTGAAAAAACACATACTAAAAGACTGAGTTGACTGTTTCCTACAGATATATAACACAAGTGCATAAAATATTTTTTCCAAACCCAATTCTGAATAGGTCCTACATATCAGGAGGCGTGCATCACAGTCTTGGGCTGCTAATTTTTAATACATTGTTTATAATTTATTTCTCACATGTAATATACACAAAACAAGATACAAAAAAAACCTGATAATGAATTGCTGTCCATTTCCAAACGTGGTTAATACATACATGTGATGGTGTTGGATCAGGGTGGTTGAAGGCTTTTTCTACATCTCAGATTTGGAGAAAGGGTCAAAAAAAAAAAAAAAAAAAAAAAAAAAGAAGAGGCAGCTTCCAAAACCCATGCAAACTAATCTATAGATTACTGGCTATTCACATGCAAAGACAAAGCAGCCCTTGAAGGCAAAGGTGAATGCCACTGTGCAAGAGAAAGTGGTTAAGGTAATGGAAATTGGGCATCTCCCTGATCATATTATTTGTATAAAAAATATCTTTAGAACCTCTTAAAAAACTATATCATCAAACCAAAACTAACATATGTG